GCATCCAAAAAATCCCACCACTGCAGTCCTTCTCAAGGAATCGTCCAAAACAAGAAGATGGACCGCGTAGAGACCTCACACTATGCCTGAATCCGTTTTCTGACGAATAACTTGGTGTTGTTTTCGTGTATGAAAATTTTGTACATGATTTATATATCACCATCAAATATGAAAATTTACATGTTGCGGGTATACACAATATATACATAAAATATTCATAAAATATACACTCGAGATTCTTGTAATTCAAGCCAGCGACAGATCGGGACATACATATACATAAAATATACATATACATAAAATATACTTTAGTTATACAATCGAGTTTCAATCGTTTGTCAAAATCGATTTCAGAACCCACATATACATAAAATATACTTAAACTTTACATGGAAAGATGATTAAAATTTTATGGGAATGAAATAAAGAGGAGAAAGGAGAGAAGGAGAAATAATGGAGAAGACAAACAACAAAAAAAAAATGGATGAATAGGAAAGATAGTGTGTGGAATAGGAAATAGTGTAATGAAGATTTGTTAGGGGTAGATAAATGAGGGAGAAGAGAGATTGCTTTTAATCAGTACGGTTTTGAAGGTACTTTCTGATTTGGAAACAAATTTTATGCAATAGTATAATTATTTTAGAAGAGTTGAGTATTGATACAAATTCTTTGTTGCGAAACATAAAATTGCAATTATTTACAAAAAGTGTAGGATGTATGTAAATTAGCCAATAATTAAAATAGTCATTATCACAATATAAGTAGGCAAATTTACTTATCAATTAAACTAGTAAAACGCCCGTGTATTACACGGGTGTTTGCTAAGTTTTTCCTTAAAATCTAAAATTAATGAGAAAAAGTAGTTGAAAATTTAAATATCTTTTATTAAAATATAAATTATTTTATATTTAGTATGACACTTTTTATTTGTGTGACTTACTTGTTTTATATTATAATAATTTTTTAACTTACAACATATAACTACATTAAACATAAATATACCAATTGAGAAATAATTTTATTTTTCTAATAAATATTATTATTTTTATTATTATAAAGATAAATATAATTTATTTATTTTATATATACAATATGGATGTCAAATCGAAGATCATGACAAAATGATTAATTTGATATATTTTATATGTAAAAACGATAAGAAATACAAAAGTTATCAACTTTTAAAATACATTTATAATTCAATAGCTAATTGAAGGAAACAAATCAAAAGTCAAGGATATATCAGTCACTTAGTGCCTCACTATGTAAAATTACAAAAAATTAAAGGGTTATATTAGTAAAAGTGATATTAAAATACCTAAATTAGCTAAATAATATTTATGGAGTGTCCAAACCTAGATTATTAATTATTAATATGTTAATATTATTTGTCCAAACCTAATTACAAAACATGATTCTTCGCCTAGTAGGATTCCGAAGCACCAGAAGCAGCCAGATAGGCTCAGCGCATTCGGGAATTATATATAGGAGAGATATGAGAGTTTTTTTTTAAAAAAAAGTGTATTAAAATTGATTAAGTGTATAATTTTTTAAATAGACTAGTATTCGATCTTGTGGACATATGTATATAACATTTTATATGTTATATACAAGATCAAATGTATATAAAACTTTATATGTTATATGTGTTTATGTAATATTTAAAATAATAAGTTAGATGCTGAGCATATCGCATTTTATAAATGTTATCAATAGTAATTAGTAAAAATGAACGATATAAATATAAAATATTTAACTTACTTATTAATATTATATCGATTACAATAATGTAATTTTTGCAATATTGTCTTATTATGACCAATTAATTAAATAAAGCATTATTATTATTATTATTATTATTATTATTATTATTATTATTATTTTAAGGGAGTTAGTTTATAATAATTAAGTAATTTTAATAAAAAAATAATTTTAAATAATAATATCAAAAAAAGTTTTAAAATAGAATATCATTTAATATAATTTTATGATTAATTTTATTTATTATTTAATAAAATTAATATAAAAATAGATAATCACTTGAGTAATGCAAAATGTAACAAAAAAATTAAGGAAAAATACAAGGAGTTTTAGTATAAGCAAAAATTGTTGTTAGGTTGTCTAATTATTAAACAGTCATTAGTTTTGTTTAAATTATAATTTAAAGTATCACATTTGAATGTGAAAGCATGTAAATTTATAATAAAATTATAATTGTCTAATAGTTGCACATTCTAACATAAGACATATATTACATTACATTAGTATATAAACTAGAACAACTGGAGTTGAAGAGCCAAATACCGACAACATGTGGTTTTACAATTCAAAGCACATTGGTTCGTATCTACTCTTTTCGTTAAATTGTGAGAAATATACAGACCTTACGGTCTAAATAAAACTTTCCTACACTGACACGAAACTGAGTTTTTATTTTTAAAACTACGATTAATATGTAAAAGCATGAAACTAACTAAAATAAAGACGAAAAGGAAAGTCATTTTCAGACTATATTTTGTGAATAAATAATTACGACAATTGCGTATAATATTAATGCAGCAGATTTCACGGAAATTATATAAATCTTAATCAACTTTATCCATTCAATTGCAATATCAATGTGCCAACTCACTTTCTACATCTCTTTCCCCGAGAAATATTCACCTACCCACGGTGAGCACATGTTAATATGTCCACCGCGTAGGTGGCATTCACTCATTGGTGATATATTTTTTTAAACATATTAACATCACCAATGAGTGCATGTCATCTACGCGGTGAGCATATTAACATGTGCCCACCGTGGGTAGGAGAACATTTTTACTCTTTCCCCTCCCTCCCTCCCTATCGTTCTTTATTGTTCTTCTTTTGTTTTTTTCTTTTCCGCATCATCAAGTTCTTCTTCTTCTTTATTTCTGCAACATTAAACTCGTAAATAGAAAAAGACTGTTCTGCTAAAGTACTTTTCTATTTTTTGAAATAAAATTATTATATGAAATAAAAGAAACATAAATCAGGCGATAAAAATACTACAAACAAAAGGAGTCAAAAGAGTGGTAAAAAAATTGGTGAAAAAAAATATTTGTGAAAAACATTTTGAACAAACAAAATATAAAATATAATAATTAAAGTTGATGCGATAGAAATACTAATTTAATAAATATAAATATTTTGTTGTAAAAAATATGTATGAAAAATTTAATTGAAAATAAATAGTGGCATTTTGGTTGCCCCATAAAATGTGGGTAAGTGTGTTTTAAAAATTTTACAAAAATTAGATATAATTATAGACTGAACTAGGGCCGGTTGTGCGTACACAGCCGAGTCCAATCTAGTATATATATATATATACACATAAGATAAACAATATATAAACATATACTTATATGTAGAACTTATTTTGTAATGTATATTACACCTATCGTTTATTGTACATATATATATACATAAGATAAACACTATATAAACATATTTTTATTAGCACACATACCGTTTATTGTATATATATATATACATAAGATAAACACTATCGTTTATTGTATATATATATATACATAAGATAAACACTATATAAACATATATTTATATGTAGAACTTATATAGTAATGTATATTACACCTACCGTTTATTGTATATATATATACATAAGATAAACAGTATATAAACATATTTTTATTATGACAACTGCTCAAGGATTGATAGAAGTAATTTTGAGGAAAAAAAGCATGATAGATTTTATCAAGCATTTTCCTCTCTCAACGTTGCAAAGCTGCTCCCCAAGAATCGCCTGATCTCGGAGAATGAATGGCGTGCGATTGGAGTTAAACAAAGCCGAGGTTGGGTTCATTATGCTGTTCATCGGCCAGAGCCACACATCATGCTCTTTAGGAGGCCGCTCAACTACCAGTAGCAGCAGTGATGATTGATTATTACCCGTGTTTGGATATCAAAAATTATTAAGCTTTCAGTTAGAAAAAATTGTGTTGGTTCAGGAATGCTATGGAAAATTTTTTGTACCCTGTTACACTTTGTTTTATACTCTAAAGCTTCTTTAAATGGGAATTTGTTTGCTGAGGATTAAAAATAATAATAATAAAGCATGAGAGATTGACAAGGGAGGGAGACGAAAGCGTTATTTCTTTCGCAAAAAGAGGAGAGAGTGAGAGAGATAAAGAGAGAAGAATTTATATTTGTGTCTGTTACGAAGCAGAAGTACAACTCGCGTGATAGTTGGGATCAGTTTAAGATTATCGTATTATTGATAATGTTTGTATCTTAAAAGTTTGAATTGATAGAACTTTACCTGTACCGTATATATGAATATTTTATTTGGAGTAACCGTAGCTATGTAAATTTCCCTTAAATTGTTGATCATTTTGCTAGCCCACTAGAGACGATATTCCAAGTTCTTTCTCCTTTGTTTCTTCTTCCTTATATGGCAACTAGTTTCACATTTTATTTCCATTTGATAGTGAAGGGTAATGGACCTATGTTACCCGGACTCTTCTATTTAGGAATAATACCCGTGTCATGTTGTGTCGACACTAGTGTGGGTATGAGTGTCGGGTGTGGCATTTTAGCCTAAAATGTTCAAGATTTCTAAACTATTGACGAGTCGGACGCTCATATCTCCACACCCGATACACCACCCATATCCGAGTCTAGGTAGCATAGTAAGGTAGCATAGTAATAGACTCTATCAAGACACAATTTCAAAGAGTGAGCAAATGATGGAAGAGGTAAGTAAAGATTTAAACCCAAAAACTCCATCATTGGATCTTGTATAAAGCACAACCATGGGACTTTGCATCCAAGCACAAAATATTATCCCCCAATAAAAAATAAAAAAAAAAAGTGTAGAAGATAAAGATTATAACTTGAACTCATTGCACCCCAAAAATTGTGTACCGAGGAATCATCATCGCTCGGTCTCTCCCTCTCTCAGAATGCGGGAAGAAAAATAAATAACAAAAAAAAAAGGGAAGAAAGTGATATCACCTTCACGTTCTTTCATAGAACAAAATATAGGCTTGGCAGCGAAGGACTTCGTCCAGGGAAACCTGTCTGACATAAGCATCACTTGCATGATACCAAACACAATCTCCACTCTCTTCATTGCGTCTCATGTAAGCAACATAATGACCACCCCTCATGCTTCCAAGATGCTCCACCAACCCAACCAGACGGTACTTCAACGTCTCACCTTCACTGCATCTGCACACACAAAACACGTGAGCCAATATTTCACGATTTTAATGAACTTTTTGCAAATGCTTTCAATAATTTTTTGTTTTCCTTTTCTCCCAACGCATAAAATTTATTTATCATAAATTTTTGGCGCTGAGATTTGAATTTTTTTTCCATAATACTATGAATTTCAGGATGCTGAAAGATTCATAGGAATCGCGATTCAGCTAAATACGCAAAACTCCCCGCCAGTTTTTAACTTTCAAGTTAGGGACACTACCAAGACCATCTAAAAGAGTAAGGAAAGGAAGTAAAATAGACAAGGTAATTATTCACAGCATATTCGCCACACATATGATAAGAACAGTGAAATCTAAAAAAACAAAAATAATTAAATGCACTAACATTGCTGAGGCAAAAACATAAGTATTAACTATGACTAATAAAATTTGCTGAATAGAACAAGAGGTTAAGTGTGGACGAATTTGAACCTGGGGTCCATGTATGGCTTAAGATTGATCATCTCTTTGAACACCACATGGCCATTCAATTTACTCAGGCGACCTCGACCATCTTGGCCAAACCTCTTTAGCTGGATTGTCAGGACAGGAGGAGCCTTTCTAATGAGTATACTCTTAGTAGCGTCCCTCTTCACTTTCAATTTCTCTAAATTCGCCACCTCCTGCTCAGTTAATTCCAAGTCACACTCAGCTGACAGTAGATCATTTTCTGCGGACCCATTTATAGCCGACCCAATTTCTCCATGGCCAGGATTAACATTCTGATTACTGGAACTCAAAAATTCTGGAGGTCCATCAAAAGTATCAAACTTACGTGGTTCCATATTTTCTGGCTGGGAATCACTCTCATTTACTCCGGTATCTGGATGCTTGCCAAGCACACCTTTTCCATTTTCTGAAATCTCCTCGCAAGGGCCAACATCGTTGTTTTCCAGGTCCCTGTTCCCACTATTCACATCCTCACAACCATTCGACAACTTTAATTTACTCTTTGATCTGATTCTTTTTTCTCTAAGAATTTTCGAACAATTATCACATTGCCAGGCGTGCTCGTCCTTGGAAAGAATCTCAGGCTTTGTAAAAAGGGCCAGACAGCTCTCAACTGATACTGGAGCATTAGCATTGTCAACCTCATCTGGATCAGACTCGCTGCTAACTTCCTTTTTAACAGCTGCAGTGGACGGTTGGTCCGAGCTCGAGGCATCCTCAGGTTCATTGAATAAATCTCCAATTCCAACAAAATCTGAAGAATCTTGTTCATCACCAGGTACAGATGGCGAGAACTCAACTTCTGCTTTCGATATCTCAACACTAGGTGAAGCCACTTCTTTGTATGGGAGCAATATGACCCCCAAATCCTGAAGGTGAGGAGGATTTTTGTTTTCCCTATCTAAAAAAATTGAATCTCTAGTAAGAGAGACTTCACCACATGTCTCAGAACTAGGATCTATATCAGCATTATTCTGAACAACTTCCTGGGTAGAGTGGCCTTCAGAGGTTTGTGGTTTTTCTATTTGCTTGTCCTCAGAAGAGGAGGAAGAATCTTGGTCTTGTTTTAATGCACTTGGGCTAAGAAAATTTTCAGCAGAGTCTATAGAGGCTGCTGAAAAAGCAGATGCTGAATTACTCTCATCCTTAGAGTCGATAGTAACTGACGACGAGAAGTCATTCTGAACATTTTTATTTGCAGAACCCTGGATCACTGAAATTTCATAGGCCTTTGTATCTATGGCTACATCAATTTCACCCGTTACCGGAGCAGGGTCAAGATAATCCAACCATGCACAACTATCAGAAGAGGTTGGCTGCTCTCCAGCATTCTCAACTACTTGCTGGGTTTCCGACTTTTGAATAGCCGAAATGTCATCAACTCCAAGACCCATATCAAGAGCTGTAGCATTTGGGTCAGTGGAATCTGATATGGCATGATCACCTGAATAAAGCACCGCTTGCTCTGCCGGCTGAGGTATGGACTGCAGTTGACCAAAAGAGTTGTTATGAATTGATTGGGCAGAGACACTTCCTCCTGATAAATTATCAGCTTCCCTGTTAAATTTGGAGAGAGTACTTCCACTTCTTCTCAGGGGCACTTTTGGTTTTTTGCCTCGAGTAACAGGTTGAATCTTTCTGGGAGGGGGCTTCTTGGTAGGGACCGGCAATGATAGATCCAAATACGGTTCGTATATAGTAGATGAGTGCCCACATTCCAGGCAGCTAACCGTACTAGAGAGTTGCCCACCGAAGATAATATCCACGAAAGTAGGACTCGTGACTGAAGCCTGAGATGAGCCGGTGAGCTTTCTTGCACTCAGTTCTTCAGTGGACAAACCATCAAGCAAGCATCTAAGCAGCTCGTGACTATCATGTTGTTGATATCCTCTGAACTGGGGAGCCTTGGTACAAAGAGTGCCGAATAAAGATCGAGGATTAATCGCACCTTTTGAGCCAGCTTCAGAGCTGCTCTCAAGAAAGAACTTTCTCAGAGCACCAATCAGAGGACCAACCGACTCATCCAATCTGACAAGATACTCCCTCAGGCTCTGTATAGCTAATAGGTTCTGCATGATTGAGTTAAAGAAACAGGTATTCCCCAAATTAACCAAACCTCTAACCAAATAGCCAACTTTTGCATCAGGAACAATGCTAATGGAGTAATCCATTTTTATTGCACTCGACACACTCCCACTCCCGAACCAAACATCCTCAACATCAACATTGGACCCTTCTTCCGGTTTTCGTTTCAATATTTTCACAACTTCTTTTAAGGTCTCTTTTTGTTTACTGTCATCTGATTTCTCAGCGGGAATTAGCTTACTGCACGGGAAACACCATATTTGCTGATGGTTTTCATAATGAACAACCAACGGATGATGATTCTGTTTTGAATGGCGAATGGCGTGGCTCTGAGGTACGGTTGGTAACCCAAGACCTCCACATGCAAAATGTCCACATTCCAGACAAATCCAGATTGCCTTCGTCTCTGATTTAGAATTTGCGCCTTTTTTCCCGTGTTTACCTTTTCCTTTCTTTCCTCGGCCATCAACAATGTGTTCCCGACAGTCTTCACACTTGAGAGATCCTGAAGCTTTGAGTTTCGCAGCAAGTTTATCCACATTGATTCCTTTATCAATATGGGAACATAATCCTCTATCCGTAACACCTGCTGACCCTTGGTCAGGGGTTTGAGAACTAATAGTGCCCAGTTCAGTAACCGGTTTGGGGGACTTCAAGGGACCCCGTTTATCTTTCTGTCCAGTTCTAGCTTTTTTCACCTTTTTCGCCATAATTCCTTCAAATTAATCAAGCAATATATTAACTAGAATTTGTGACCGCTACTGAAAGGGAGAAAAGAAGTCCGGATCACATTAAAAAGTAAAAAAGTACCTGAAAACATATCATATATCTACCATATCCACGTAAAGTTGATTCAGAAATGGTAAAGTATCCAAAATAATTAAGAACTTAACTAATCTACTTTAGTTCGCTGTTCAGACATCAAAGTATCCAAATACAAAAACCTAGAGAGTCGAGTATTCTTAAAAGTGTCACGATTATTTATTATTGCTTTTCCTGCTTTAATTCATTTACTTGCTCCTAAACAACATGCCCGATGAAGTTCAATATTGGACAAACCAAGGAAATAACACAGTAAACCATTCTTTGTCATACTAGTAAATTTCCCCATTTCCACTTTAGTAAGTACACTTTCGAAGTATAACACAATTGTTCCAGACAATGAAGTGTTCATCAAATGAAAACAGCTTGCTCATACAACAACTATTCAATAAAGTAGAGATCGATTACTAATCAACATGAGGGTATTAGTGAAGCTGCAATCAATTCCATCATAAGCATAAACGAGCAGAAATGAAGTGTATGCAATTCATTTTAATGAACCGAAAAATCCACTGGCGCAGACATTATCAAAACTCAGATTAGGTATCATATTATAGCAACCTCAGTATATGTTTATGCAGTTTCAATCACTAGCTCGCAAATCAAGTCACACGCTATAAAAATAGACGCGTGCTGCATCATGTAAACACGCAATCAACGCATATCATATGTAGCAAATATAAACAGATCTATCATCACCTATCCTTCAAGCTAATAGCATTTCTGGATCAACCGCAGAAATCATAACAAATACACGCAAAGCTGATAGGAAACTTATACCTACTCCCAGAATATCTGGGAAAGAGGTGCACTTCTCCGGAGCTACTGCACTTTCTGGCGGCGAAGACGGCGGACGGTATGCCTGCGTTGGGGGTTGGACGGAATCAGGGAAGAGAGAAAATGAAAATCAAAAGATAACTCGTATCTCATGTAAGCATAATACAAACCTGAGGTTATGGCTTGAGGCGCCGGAGGTAGCTGGTGGCCTCCGGCGGACGCCGTCGAGAGAGAAGAGACAGAGTAGGGTATATCGGAGATTCTTCTTAAAAATAGAGGTGCAGGGGTTCAGGCCTTCAGGGTATATCGGAAATTAAGCCCTAATATTTGTTTATTGTTTTATTTTATTTTCTTGAAAATCATTATTGGATTTTATTTTAATATAAAAAATAAAACACCTTATAGAAATGAGTAATGCTACTTTTACATAGTCTTTTGACAAATTCTTTTTACAAAATGAGTTGTACAAGTAAGATTAAAGAGGAATTAAGGCTAACATTTAAAAGTCTATTTAGATTGATATTTGTTGTTATCTCAAAACGATAGACGATATTATAGCACGCGAATGTACAAATATACAAACTGAGAAGTCAATTGTCTCTAATGTCAGAGTGTCGTCGTAACCTATTTGTTGCCAAGCTGACATCTCTAGTATTGCATAACAAACTAAGAATATCAATACCTAAGAAATCGAAGTCCCAACAAGAAATAAAAAAAAAGGAAATGGAAATACAAAAGAGCCAGAATGACACGAAGAGTGTCCACTGAACCTGCTGGACCTAGACTTACCTCCACTGCACCTTGGCAACCTCAGAAATTCTTATTTGCATATTCATGCCAGTCCCTCGGTGCTAGCCTAACTATACACTATACTGGCATCCACTCTTTCCTAAAGACCCATAGGTTACGTGCTTTCCAAACCCACCACAACAAATATGTGGTCAGCTCGATCATAGCTTCTGAAACTTCAAGCCGATTAACAGAACATACATCTCCCCACCAAGCCTTGAATGTTGTTGCAGCAGTTATATCACCCTCTCAATGCACTGGAGCAGCTTTCCAACCTCGTTGGTTCTGCTGCATTGTAGAAAAACATGTTCAGTTGTCTCCAAGGCTCCTCCACAAGACTGACAAATACCATCCACAAGGAGTCCTCTCTTCCTCAACCAAACCTTCACATGCAAAGCCTCAGAGAAGCACTTCCAAGCAAAGTGCTTCAGTTTGCCTTTGATTTTGAGCTTCCAAGTTCTGGTCCTGATTTTCGTGAGCAAGCTAGCTGAATTACTACCTTCTGCAATATCAAGGCCTCGAAAATTATCCTCCACCATCTTTAAATAAGCCTTTGAAACTGAGAAGTCCCCTTTTGTTTCATTATTCCACACCCACTTTTTGTTAGGGTCTATATTTTTTACTTGATAAATATGATCAATGTCCCTCTCTTGAAAAGTTGTCTGACTAACTTAGCATTCCATCTTCTACCTCCCTCCTCCATGAGTTGCCACGCCCATTGAATCTCAGTGTTTGTGTTTGAAGCCAGTTGGGGTACACCTGAGACAGAGGACTGGAACCAGGGATCATGCCAAATCTTAGTTGATAATCCATCTACAATTTGCACCATAAAGCAATTCATGTACCTGTTCCTCACACCCACCCAAGTAGCCCACAGTCTGGAAGCACTCTGTGTCAAACCAGCCTTGAAAAAGCAGCCAATAGGAAAATATTTGCTTTTAAGGAATTTGCTGATAAACAGGTCAAGCATAGTGGCGATTCTCCTGATCTGTTTTAGAATAAGAGCATCATTAATCAATTGGAGATCATGGAAGCGAGCCCTCCAAACACTTTTGGGAGTGTAATGGTGTGTCATGCTTTCTAGTGTATTCCAGATGCTTGATTGTTTCAACTGCTCCACCAAAACTTTGCACATATCCTGGCAATCTCCTGACAAACTGGCTTGGGAATGACAAAGCAGGACATAGTAAAAACCGGTAAGGCATTAAGGACAAAATTCATCAACACTTCTTTACCAGCCAAGGACATAAAATTGTTTTTCCAACTAGAAACTCTTCTTCTTACAGCATCAACCACAAAGTCAAAAGGTTTGTTTCTTTGATATACCAATCCCAAATGGCAACCCAAGGTTCTTGGATGTGTTGGATTTTCGACGTACGAATCCAGTGTACGCGCAGCGGAATTTTAAAATTTTCTTACCAACAACGAAGATTCGGCTAATAGCTATTCGATGTGATCCTAGATCGCGTAAATGGTCAACGAAAACTTACTGTTGTTCGTCTCTGTCCTCGACTATGGTATCCACGCAATCCAGTTTTCCGATGCACGATCCAACGCCAATGAATCATCTCCGGTGAAGAAGCTAGGAATCTTCGATCTGGAAAGCTAGAGAGTGTTTTTGTCGTTTGATGTTGATCTCTCAATCTCTAAAATGTTTGGGATCTCTCAAAGTCTCTCTTATCGATCCAACGATTAGTGATTATGAAGAGATAATGGGATATTTATAATTAGGTCAAAACCTAATTATATGGGCCTTAGGATACCCTACAGCCCAATAAGTAATTGGACAGTATCCAATTAATATTTTAATTAAATATAAATCTAATTTAACTTAATTAAATATTTTCTATCAAATAGAAAATTATCTCATTATTAATTAATTATAAATCTAATTTAACTTAATTAAATATTTTCTATCAAATAGAAAATAATCTCATTACTCATAAATAAATATTTCAATCTAATTGAATATCTAACACTCTCGATTCACTCTTAGTCGGAAAACTGATTGCATATTGTGTGACCCTATAGGCCTTCATATATTGACAAAAATCTAATTATGATCCTTACGAAACTCCTAGACTGCGTCGAAGGACGACCTCAAAATATGAAGTACGTTTACATGGACAAGCAAACACAATATGCATTTTATTAGTGTGTAACTCAATGGTGATACGGTCCCTTCATTCACGACCCACTCGATTAAGCTTAGGACTTGAACGTGTGTCTATCCAAACAGCTTAATCATTTTATCTCATCTCACTGGTTGATTTTATCAATTATATTTGAACACCATTTCAAATATAATCACGTGCATTGGCCAATGACTTTATCAACCCAGTATAGAGAAAATGAGTGTTCTCTCGAAACTATATTCGAGGAATGAATCCTATCTTGGCTCAACTACCAATTCCATATATACGTGATCTACACAACACAAGCCCGTATCTACCCATAAGGGCGTAAGCGTTGGACTAGGTCTAAGTAAATCACTCTATGCATGAATTGCGTATTGACCTCAAGTCAAAGGACTATTACACCATTCCACACACCGATACATCCATAGACACATAAACAAATGGTTTATCGGTAGGGTATGCCAATACTTTCCAAAGTATCCATGTGTCCATCACGAATAACAATTATTCATAGCAGTGAGACATACTATATTCTCTAAGAATATGATGCAGACCACATGTCAATCTATCGTGTATCATTAATATCCCTTTCTTAATGATCATCGATTGAGGCGGTTTTAGAGTTATACTTTATCAATTAACATCTCACTATGCTAATGACAGTATTAACTCAAGGGAGCAATTAATTAATAAATTGCAAACAATCAAACAATTATTTAAATAATTGCAATACTATAATTACAATCTAATATAATTATTAATGTGATCATGTATATATGTCTTTAAAATGATTGTCTCTAGGACACATATACCAACAATCTCCCACTTGAACTAGAGGCAATCACTAATGTATCTAATACACATTATCTTAAAATGACTATTGTGCTCAACTATGCATTATGCACAATGGTTTGGTGAACGAACCATTCAAGTAGTGTTCAGCTTGAACACGTTTTAACTTATTTCTCCTCTATCAATTATCTCTAAATAAATGATAGCGCCTTTGTACATGTTTATTTTGTTGTTGGATCTTGGTTCCTATGCCTGTGCAATCGCACACGTTTATCATAATATGTAGATATTAGATAAATGACACTTGGAACTACCCCTAGTCCATTTAAGAACTCATGTATCCAAACAGCCTCCATAGGCGTTTAGTGCAACAATGTACTCGACATTTGTGGTTGAAGTCACAGTGGTTTACTGCTTGGAACTATTCCAACCCACTGTCTCATCATTGAAATGAATATAAGACTATTAAATGATTATTCCCACAATAGAATAAAATATATTCTTTAGTCCATCTAACTAAAGATAGTCTTAGCAGTCTTCCAATATAGCTCTCCAGGATTTTATTGGAATCTATAGGTGCTACTAAGTGCATAAGCCATATAGACCTCGTACATGTCATAACATGCATGATAGTCTCCATCGCATAAGCAAATGTAATCTTCGTCATGCACCCAAGTTTGGCATCAACTGAAAGACAATCTTTCTTTGCTAACTTGATGTCAGATCCATTTGAGAAGCACTTTAGTACCTTGACTATACACATGGACCGTGAAACTCTAACACTCTATTAGATCTATCTCGATAGATCATAATTTCAAGAGTATAGCAATTTCACTCAAACCCTTCACAATGAATATACTTGGTAATCAATCTTTCACGGACTGCAGGTGAGGAACATCATCCCATTATCAATATGTCACATACATATATGATAAAAATAATATTATCTTCATTGTGTTTACTATAAACGCATAAATCCTTCTTACTTCTCACAAAGCTAAACAATTATGTGACTTTGTGGAAAAAGATATTCCAACTCCTAGAGGCTTGCTTAAGTCCACTATTGGACCTTTGTAACTTGCATACTAGTTTTCAATTTGACTTGGATAAGAAACCTTTAGATTGTATCATATATACATCCTCTAATTTTTCCATTAAGGAAAGTGATTTCAACATCCATCTGTCAAATATCATAGTCATAGTATGCAACTATTGCAAGTAAAATCCAAATGGACTTAATTTTGGCAATTGGTGAAAATGTCTCATCATAGTCCATGCCTTTATGTTGACTATAACCTTTATCAGTCAATCTAGCCTTATAGGTTCGTCCTTTGCCTTTTGCATCTGTTTTTTTTTTTTAAACTCATTTGCATCTAATAGGTCTAACCCCAATTGGCAAATCAATCAAGTTCTAAACTTGATTTATGTACATCGAGTCCATTTATGATTTTATGACATCAAGCCATCTCCCTGAGTCCATGTCTTACATAAACTCAGTGTAGGTCCTGAGATCATCCTCATTAGAAATCTCTACATCATTGTGATCCTCCCAGAGGAAAGACGGTCTAATTGGTTCACGACGAGTTCTAGTCAACCTACGGAGTTTTACATTTGCATTTGTGGTTGTATATTTTGATCGTGAAGAGGTTCTTGTACGTTTGAATTACTTAATGATCAGAGGTTCTCAAAATCACGTTTGCATTTGTTTATTGAGAATTGAAGACATTCAAGCCATTATGAATTGGTTGTATATGATTGTGTTTCACTTCTGCAGTTCACCCATATTACTCCCACTAGCTAGAAGTTTTCCATCAAATGACAAATTTCTATTCAGGGAATCACCAATATCTCCCTCTAAATCTTTGTCAATACCAAACGACAATTCTTGAACCTCAATGTTATTTTGAATTTCCTGAACTTTTCAACTTCTATCACAACACGTCCTTGTTCCTTGAAGAAATAATATTCTTCTGAAAACTTCGTCTATCTAAAGACAATTACTCTATGTTCCCCAGGAAGATAGAAATAGTATCCTCGTGTTGGATAGCCTTCAAAATAACATTCTTCACTTTTAGATTCCAATTTATCAGTTAAAAGTTTCTTCACATATGGTAGAGAACCCCAGGTTCGCATATGTTAAAGACAAGGCCTCTTGCCACGTCATGATTCATATGACGTCTTTACAACTGATTTCACTAGAACTCTATTCAAAATGTAAAGCGTGTTCAAAGGCATAACCTCAATGATATGTGGAAGAGTGGTGAAACTTAACATGGATCTAACCATATCTAATAAGGTTCGATTGCTCCCTTTGAAGACTCCATCAAATGAGTCCTAGGAGGTTCCATTACAATTGGACTCCATGAAATTTCAAGTAATAAAGAAACTCCTTGCTAAATATTCTTTTACTCGATCAAATCAAAAGGATACTTAAAGCATGTTGTTCATCTACTCCAGACTTATACTTTTGAATTTTCTAAGGCTTCGATTCGTGTTCCTTAAGTTACACATAACTCAACCTTTAAAATCATTAGTACAAAAGATGGAGTACGAAAAACCTCTCCTGACTTGAGTTTCGTAAAGTTCACATACAGTAATGTAGATCAACTCAAACATTCTTGGCTTTTGTCCCTTTCCAAGAAAAGGACTTATTGGTCATCATTTCATTTAAGACAAAATCCACAAATTCCATGTTACCCAAAGTCACATGGTGTTAAGTAATCTAATGTACTTAACATTGTCTCATTAATGTGACCAAATCTATAATGCCATAAGAAAATGGAGATTTT